GTGATGATATTCAATTTAAGTCACGCGAGCCCTCGGACGTTTCCGCCGTCTGGTTCGGGGGTGTGACATATGGGGTTGGGCCCAATTTGGAAAATTGGGCCATTGGTAGGCCCTTGTGGATCCCTTGGTTTTGGGCCTTGGTGGACCCAATGGGTTTGGGTCATTAGTGGGCTTGGTTATCTGGGCTATCGTTGGGCCTAGGGCTGGAGTGTAGCCTTGTTCGGTTATTGATTATGGCGTTGGGTGTTTGGCTAAGATCGGGAGTCGGTTAGCTGCAGCAGCGACAATGTAGGATTAATCGCGAAGCGTTGAGGCGAGTCTTCTCACCATACTTACCTGTGTGGTAATGCATGCGTGACCGGAGGGTCTTATTTGTGTTATTGACCGGAAGGTCTTATGTATGTTGTTGACCGGAGGGTCTTATTTATATTATTGACCGGAGGGTCTTATTTGTATTACTGACCGAAGGGTCTTATCTGCTTTATGTGTTATTATGCATTATGTCTTTGTGACTTATGATGTTATATTATTCTGTATGTATGTTGAGCTATGACCGGAAGGTCTATACCGAGACGTGGGACCGGAGGGTCTTCACTAAGACACATGACCATAGGGTCCTTATCAAGATATAGCCATGAGAGGATTATTATTTGTGTATGTGGTATTTTGGGGAACTCACTAAGCTTCGTGCTTACCGTGTCGATTTAAATATGTTTAAGGTACTTCTGTGGATTCCGGGAAGGAGGAGACATGATTGTACATATCTGTCGGCTTATGAAGATTTGAGAATTTTAGGATACTCTGATGTTGTTTTGATAATAACTTACAATTTATGTGATGACTTAAATTTATGATTAATATTTTGAGAATTAAAAATGAAAAATTTGTCTTGAAATTTGAGGTGTTACAATCAGAAGGACCATTGTAGTGCAAAGTTTTGTCCAAAGGGGTCATTCAAGCAAAAAGGTTTCATAAGGATTATTTTGGGAACAAAATCATAAGTATAAGGACCATTTGTGAAAATTTGTCTTTCGTTTATGATAAATTCAAAATGATTACAATATCTTTTTGATGTTTTATTTGGAAAACAAACAATCAACCAAGTGGATATTTCCAAACTTTAATTTAAATGACATGTTAATGAAGAGCAACTAATTATCAACGAACTTTCTTACTAGAACCTCATTAATTAATTTGTCAAAGTTGAGATAAGACGATCCACCAATAACAACGGCTTTTTCGGCTTCTTTCTTCCACTCCAAAGCCCTAATTTTCATCATCTTCCCTTTCTTCCCATCCATCATCTCCCTCACCTGAGCCTCCACCTCCTCCCTCTTAACATTTGTATCAATTTCCATTCCAATCCCCCACTGTACACAACTATATCGACAATTTGTTTGTTGCTCTGCAAAAAACGGCCAACAAATCACTGGAACACCGCTACCAATACTCCCAATAGTCGAGTTCCATCCACTGTGAGTCAAGAATCCCCCGATTGATGGATGCTTCAAAACCTTCATATGTAGATCAATAAAGAATCTTACTGATGTTTTGATTAGAAAATAACAATGAATCATAAGCACAGTCAAACAACGTTACATAAAGTACCTGTTCTTGAGGACACCAACTGGTTACCAAGCCTCTCTTTGTCGTCTCATCGACAAACTCTGGTGGCATCAAGGCCTCTTTGCCTCCGACAATGTCCGGCCTGGTTATCCACAAGAAATTTTTCTTGCTATTAGCAAGTCCCCACCCAAACTCGATGAGTTGTTCTTTTGTCATTACCGTAATACTTCCAAAGTTTACGTAAACAACCGATCCAGGATCTTTTGTATCTAGCCACCTGATGCATGTCTCGTCTTCTTTCCAAAGATTGGATCCAATGTGTTTGAGTTGATCATCGTGAATATGTTGTTGCATCAAGTGTAGTGGGCCTATGGTGAAGGTTTGTGTGTTTATTGCAATTAAGGGGTTAACACTATCTTTTTCTAAAGCATCAAATGTGTTGAGCACAATAGTGGTGCCTCTAGGGAGAGTCTCTGCCTCGGTCATAAGATAGGTGAACAAGATGTCGTTTATGTCTGTTGTTCGAATGAAACTTGGTAAATCCCTTAGTCGGATGTTATTCATTCCAGGAATCCAATCTAATCTTGTTTCCAAATACTCATTTGTCATGTCGCTCATATCTGTAACACTTGGTTATTTACAATAGTACATGCAAAGTTACATGTACATAAATAGGAAATTTTTTTTGATTAAGTCACAAGTTATTAGATTATCATAATAAATAGTTTAACGAAATGGTTGAATGACATGAAAGCCTATAATTTTTTTGATTAAGTCACAAGTTATTAGATTATTAGACTAAGTTGATATTCATTAGAACTCAATATGATTGAACTCTTCAACTAAAAAAGATAAACTTTTTAGTTCTTTTAGAATATATCTCTTTTAAACTTTGCATAGTTTAATAGATAGTAGAAGTTAAATAGTAAAGTTCTATAAAAAAATTAAAATAGTATGTAACACTAAATTAAAATTTAGAGATTTCTATTAACTTTGGCTACCCTTTTTTCAGATCATATTCAGTTAAATATCACATGATTATGAATCAATCTTTAATTAATGTGATGTCATTGCCTGAAAATATATATTCAATGAAACTAGTTGTGAGACTCATAATATTACATGGTTTTATTTAAAAATAAAAGTTAAATATAAAAGTCTAAATATTTGAGAAATTTGAATTTACAACAAAAATAAGAAAAATATAGAATTATTAAAATTGAAGTGTTTTTTTTTTAAATTTAAACAAATAATTTAAATAAATATACAAAGAAAATTAATGAATTTTGAAATTAGAAGTTGAAGGAAATTGATATTCATTTATTGTTATATTTATTGTAAATTATTACAGTGAAATTAATAAAATAAAAAAATGACAGTGGACAAAAATCAAATTAAAATATGACAATGTGATAAAAATATCGATAGCTTGATACCGCATAAACTTCCACACGCAATGCGACAAAGAATGCCAACTTGACATCTTGACATCTCCGTTTATGTTGGATGAGACCATGAAATACTTAATTTATTACAGTAAAAAGTTAAGCGATTTTATTGAAAACGGAGCTGATCACAGTGCCACAAAGATGATTTTTGGAAGTTACGAAACTAAGAGAACAAGTAGAATAAGAACAACAAATTTTACCTTTGAGGGGAATATACCCCCTCTGAACAAGTTCACGATAGTGAGTGTAACCCAAAAGCCCGCAAGCACTTGGCGTCCAGAACAGTACTTCCGGCAACCCAAACCTGTGGGCAGCTGTAAGAGTAAAGCTCATGCACCCATCGGATATAATACATGTCACTGGTGGCACATCGGACTCCTCGCCACCATTAAGTTTAGTGATCAGCTCACAGAAAGGCTCCAAACTGTGGTTAGGAAGAGATTCAAAGAGGGCGGGGATTGACTGTGTGGTATCAGCATCATCAGATGGCGGAAGGCCATCAGGGATGGAGTAGAAACGAAAATCCGGCAGACCATCAAGGGTAGAAGGACCTCGAGATCGTAGCAGGCGCTTAATTATGGTTGTAATGGGTGTTGACGAAGGAGATATGGAAGCCCTTAAAGTGAAGGAGTTTGGCAAGTTTCATCATGGGATTGATGTGGCCTTGTGTTGGATAGGGGATACAAATGGCATGTGGCTTTTCCATTGCTGCAATGGTACCCACCTGATGCAATGCCTTTTTGTGTTTACTGTTTAGTGAGGGGGAGGGAAAGAGTGGTGTTGGAATTTATAGGATGTAAGGAGGCCTAGTGTAATCTAAGACCTCGTTCAGATATTATTTTATATAATGCAAAAACCCACGTTGTGCTTTTCGAAAAGTTAATTTTTAATTATTTATCCGATACTATTATGTATATTTTTCAAGTATTTAACTTCATTAAAATATTATTCATAAGAGATCTATATAAGGAAGAAGGTGATAACTTTATTTATGTTTAAAAGTATATGTTTTGATTTTTATATCTCTTATAAAATATCATCTCCAAAAAATAATTTTTTTGTATTATCTATTTATTTAAAGTTGTCAAAAAATTAAATTTTAAAATTTTAATTTAATATTATAATTAATAATTTTAATTGTTATCATATATATATATATATATATATATATATATATATATATATATATTAAATAAATGGAAAACTCAGATCAACCTAACGTATTATCATTGGATGCTCAAAAAACTAGTTATATTATGTTTTGACAAAATTACATAAATGGTCTATGTGGTTTGGTGAAAATAGCCACATATGGGGATGATCATTTTCTCCGCATGACCTCGAAAAACTCTTGTTAAATTTATGTAAAAATGATATTTTTACTCTCTTTTCTTTTTTCCTCTTTCATAGTACTTCCTTTATTATAGGGACCATTTATGTAAAGTACTAGAACTATTAACCTAATCATCATTGTTTGTTTGAATGCAGTGACAGATCCATCCCACAAGTCAAGTTGGATGCATAGTTGATCGTTGACTGCTGACCATTCACTCAAATTAATTTCAACCGGCACCGATGGAATAGAGGTGGGTTAGGGAATTTCGTTTGAGGCATTCGCAGATGAAGGCCATCTGTTGATATTCGTCTTTTTAAAAATCTTTCCATTTATCTATTAATAAAAGTTAACAATAAATTATTCATTGGTATACTAAAACTCAACGATTAACAATCTATTATTTATGTTAACAATCCATCAACAGGAAACATGAGTCTTTCATGTGTTCAAATAATGCCCATGAGGGACACTTTGTCCAACACACCAACAAAAATCTATTATTCATCACAATATCAATACAACTTGCAATATGGACCACACCAAAAAAAATTGAAGGCTATTAATATACTCCAATAACAACAGTGGACAAATACACCAACAAAAATCCAAAAAAATAACAATATAACATATAATAAATGATTTCTAATATATAAAAACAGCCACAATTCCACAAACCAACAATGAAAACCTACAAACCAAGAAAAATCGATTTCCCCTGAAAATAAAATCAAAGTATATATCAAGCTAGAGAGA